AGTTTAGATAGGCATCTCGCTGGGTTCATCTAGACCCAGCCCTCTTTCCTGCCTATGCAGGGGGTCGGACTTAATGATCTATTGAGGTCCCTTCCGACCCTAGCATCTATGAATCTATAAGAGTCAAATGTTTTTTGGTTCACAGTGAAGCGTAAGTGATGTTTTTAACAATTTGTTTATTTATGCACATTCATATCAATTCCTGAGCCCTTTACTCCTTTTTCCTATACCTGATGAGCATCCCTGTGCCCTGAGCATATCAGACTACAGATAAGATGTGTTTTCTCCCTTGCCAAGGAGCTTGTATAAATATACTGGCAGCATATCACTGACTGATTTGCACTGTACAAAATTCAGATTGGACTTTTCCAAAGCTAATTTTGCCAAATGAAGGAGCACATACAATCTTAGAAACAGAACTGAAGTTAACCAGGACAAATTAAGCAGAAGTGTTATGCACATGCCACGACTGAATTCAGACCAAGTGCATGAAGATAAATAAAGTAGTTGCTGTCAGCGTTACGGAGCTGAAGAAGCAGATGGTTCCCTGTTAGAGAAATGTAGCAACCAGTGTAACATCTTTTCATGCCAGACAAATCCTACCAATGCTGTCATGTTTGCTGCATTCTTTTTAGTAACCTATCATTCATTTGGTCCAGCATAGACCTTTGTTTTAGTTTTTAAAATGTGTTTGAGCATTGGTAAGCATTGTGAAAACACTAAACAGGAGCCCAGTCATTTTTCTCTGGCTGACAGAAAGAGGTGACCTCTTACACTTGCTGAGACACCCACAGGATCTCCTGCTGCCTCTATTCATCCTGTAGAAGTTGCAAGAGGACAGCCTCGGGCTGTTGTCCCTGTGCCAACTGCTGCAGTATCTCCTCTGCTAAAGGACACAGAATGGAGAAGGCCTCTTTTTTTTTTTTAATAGGGAGTGTTGTACATGAATCCGAACCTTCAGCTACGATGGAGAAATTAAACCAAGACTTAAAATTAAAATCCTTTTTATTAGCAACAGCACACAAATACAAATAAATCAGTTATACCCTCAACAGAAAAAAAAAACCTGTTACAATACCACTAGCTGAAGCCTGCAGATGTCTTTGGTCTTTTTTTGATCTTTTTCCTGTGCGCCAGCATCTCTAGATTCTTCACTCGCTAAGGCTGTTTCTATTATTGTCTTTAACTTAAGCAACTTTACCTCTTCTTTTCTGAATTTTTCTTTTATTTTTTTGGCAGCGGTGACAACTCTGACAAACTAACCCAAACTAATTTTTCAGAGTACCTTGCAACACGGCAATTGGACAAGACGTGTCACGACGGGATAATGTGGCTTTTGAGAGAGAGAATCTTGAATTTCCTTCCCACATGGTCTGGTGTACACATGCCAATACATTTTTTTATTCTCTCCCCTATCCCACATACCCTTCTTGGTCACACTGAAAGAGATTGTTTGCCTAAATTTTTGTTTGTTTGTGTTTTGCTTCTGCAAAGCTTAGCAAAAATGTGTAACATACATAAGCTATAAAAGATTATAGTTCACATTATCTTAAGTACACTTGTAATCAAAAGCACAGCATTCAGTCTATATATAATTTTGGTTGTCTGCATAAGCAGTTAGGCCTCAGGTCCAAAGCAGATATTGCTGTTTTTCTCTCAAACTTCTCAAGCAGGTAAGCCTACCTAGCTATCAAATCCCGTGCCACCCTCAATCATGGACTCCATTTTTCTCTCCTGTCACAGTCAACTGCATACATTGCTCACTACACACAAAGCATGCAAGTGATTCCCAACCTGAGAAACACATTTAACCTTTTGCAGCAGTTTCATTCTTTAACCAAAAAAAGGGGAAAACATCAACCAAGATCTTTTTTGCAGCCATCCCAGCTTCTTTTTCTTTAGTCCCCACCCCACCCCTGCCCAACCCCCCATACACACTTGGAAATCTATTGCAAGAGTCACTTCCTGCAGTTCCTTATTGTTTCTCTCTCAGCCTTTTATAATGGAGTACTCTACCATGTCCCTGTAAGCCCTGCCAATTGAATACAGCTCCTTGGTCCCAGGACCCTTAGCTGGTAAAGTGGCAGATCACCCTTTTACTTCACTTTCTATACTCAGAAAATGCCATTTATAGCAATTGGACAACCGCGTAGAATATACAGCAGTCATAAATTGATACAGAGCAGTCCTACATCCTTGATAATTATATTAATAGCATATGAGCAGTAGAAAATAGACATATATCACAGGTATACTGATCTTGGTATAAATACCAAAAATAATGCTGGTTAACTATGTTAGTAAATATAGAAGGATTTGGGGCCTTTAGTAGGTTATATGAAAGGTGGTCAGATTATACTAAAAAAGCTGAAGGGAGATTGAGGTTTATAAATGAGGAGTAATCAAGCTAGGTTTATATCCATCAACTTCAGTCCAGTGATACAAAGGATAAATGTGCCCTGTTTCTTTTTCCTGGTTTCCTTCCTTAGATAAAAGGAAGCTTGTCAGGGCTAACAAGCCCAACATTTTACTTATCACAAATACCCATTAAAGTCAACATTTGCCAACTGTTTCTGCAGCTCTCCTGTTTCAAATAATGGTACTTGACATATCACCACATGGTAACTTTAATTATTTCTATTGTAGATACAAATATGGGCCTTCCATGTCAATCTTGAAAAGGTTAGCTTAAAGAATAAGGGCACATGACCCATATTAAACCCTGTGTCAGTTTCCTGAAAGCAGCTGATTCAGTACTGTATCCTATTTCTAGGGCTGTGTTGATGTTTCCCAACTCTTAATACTCTGCTTTACTTGGAAATGAGAACTAGACCAGATTTCAAATCAGTCAATACTAACAGATTTCAACAGCATCAATAACAAAAACTAAAAACAAATGGATACTTGGTTTGATTAAGAATTGTCGGGTGTACAGACTTTTGGAATAGCACATAATGCTTCCCTGCTACTACCTATCTATTCCATTTTTATGAGCAGACACCATACTGACATTTTAAAAACCTGCTCTCCATGGGTTTTATCATCAATAGAAGTATGGAACAGATAAGCATGGCAAAGGAAAATTATCACTAATCTTCTCATACTTATAATGCAGCTGGCACATTTCATTTTAAGCTCAGTAGTCTTGATTATGCACTATCCCTTGAAAATAAGTATTTTCTTTTAATTAGTACTTTTCCTTTTACAAAAGTTCTGGCCAGAAGGTTAGTTCTTCTCATGCCTCTAGGCTGCAGTTTTCTCTTCTGACTGAAGTCTGTTTTCAACTGGTTTCATTGCTGGAAAGAGCAGCACTTCCTAAAGCAAGATTGAAAAATAAATGTCATTAAAGGTTACCACCCCCAAGTTTTGCAAATATCAGGAGACAAGCTACCCCCAAAATCATGAGATTGGATTAATGAACAACTCATACCCCAATGGCTGGGGGGCAGCGGTGGTGGTGAGAGCGTGGCGGCAGGAGCGGCGGTAGTAAGCAGGGGAGCTCCCGCAGATGCCACCAACACTGTCGGCGGCAGGGGGGAGGGGCAAGCACTGACCAAGGATCGGCGACTGCCCGCAGCCGCCACCAGCAGTGTCGGCAGCCGGGTGGCAAGCAGCGACCATGCACTGCCATGCTCAGGGGGTGCACATGCACCCCCTACACACTGCCCCTGATTGGACTGAAACTCATGAAGTTTTTATAAAACAACAAATTTTAAGTTTGTTTTTCAGGTCTTCCAGTGTTAGAGCCTCAGTGCTCTTGGACATATTTTCAAACAACCCTGAGGACTACAAATTTAATTTTCTAGAAGAAAAGAAGGTTAAACTCAACAAACCACATGCTGCCAGGATGTTTGCCTAAGTCAAACATCAAATATTGCAAGTCATGCAATCCTAGCATCATAGGATAGTTTTTACTGTAAGAAGTGGCAACACTGGTTAATGCTTTCAGGTGGCTTCAGATTGAAAGCAGAAATATAGGGCCTGATTTTCATTTGCATGGGATGCCCTAATCGATCTTCATGACTGACAGAGCATGCCTCACAGGATGGGGAATATTTGCAGCAGGAAGCACTCTGTGTGTGATGTAAACAAAGACCTAGATCGAAGCAAAACAATATTTGCCTAGAGGGAAAAAATAGAAAGACATAATCCCCATGGGCATGAAACTACTCTGTTTTTTGCTGCTACTTGGCAAACTCACCTTAATGTTGTTGGAGTCTGTTAGGAACATGGCAAGACGGTCAATCCCTATTCCCCAGCCACCAGTAGGAGGGAGGCCATATTCCAGTGCTGTGCAGAAATTCTCATCAATGCTCATGGCTTCGTCATCACCTGCGGCTTTAGCCTAAGTCCACAAAACAATATACAGACATCTTAAATATCTCTCTGCCAAAGTTCTACACGCTTGTAACTTGAGTGCTAAAGTGTAATTTGGTACTAAAAATTGTACGGTACCAGCTAAATTAGTGCCTCAGAACATTTGAGGTAACATACTGACTATTCATTGATGACCGCTGCCAAAACTAACCCCCTGCCGCGCAGGGGACCAACTGAGACACCAATCTGAGGTTTCACTGTGGAGTCAGT